CAGATATGACGGCTGATAGAGATGTATGGAAGAGCAGCACATACTGTGCCGACCCTCCATAAGGGATAAGGGCAAGTGGATGATGATGAAAGTGTGTCCAGCAAAGATCTTTTATTCCAAGGGTACACAAAGGGCTTTGTAGCCATTAATTTTTTCTCACATATAAATATGTAAATAATACTATTTTCACTATCTTAACTAGCATAGCGTATATAAACAGTGTGATAATCGATTTAACCCACCAAGCTGAACTTGATAACTTTTTAATTACAATACACGCTCGAGTTAATATTGCGATAGTAGCCAGTGATATAGGAAAAAAACTTAAATTCATTATTATTACTAATGTGTCAATACGGTAAAAGCAGAAAGAAAATGTTTAAAAACAGCAATAATATCCTTGTATGAGGGTAATTTAACACTATCATATAAAATATAACAAAAACATACTTTTGTTAAATCAATTTAATTATTTTACCTGATATTCGATCGTGTGATAATACTTCTTCGAGCACCGCTTTGCATTCTTCTAACCGTTGAAAATCACTCGAGTCGATAACAAAAATGATTCCGTGCACTTCGCTGTAATATTGACTCCATATTTGACGAAACTGCGGCCCGCCGCCTAAATCGTATATCGTCACAGGTGTATCTTTATGTATTAGATTAACAGCTTTAAAACCAACCGTAGGCAAAACTTTATCATCCTTTTCTCCGGCTAAATTATTCACTGTTTTAGTTTTACCCGCGTTGTCCAAACCAATAAGTATTAAAACTATATGACGACGTAATCTACGACGACGAAATATCGCCCAACAGTTACCCATCACTAAACTGTGTTAAAAACACTAATATAATAATTAAAATTGTGTTTAACGCAAATCCAATTCACGACTTTGAATTTGTCGCCAGATGCCATTTGTAAACATTTATACTTTTTCTGTTGACACAACGGTTACCAATAGCGATCGAGATCGATGTGACCAGTGTTAAAACGTAATAAACCTCCTTTTTAAATATTTATCTATTTTTAATACAAACTTTTTGGTTTAATTTATTAATTGATGAATGCTTAAATAGATTAAATTTCAATACAGAAAACATAAAATTATAATTTTTAACCTCAAAAAAATCGATGTAATTACTAAAAAAACTTACTTGTGCAATTTGAATTTTGAAATAACGCACTTCTTTTATTAATAAATCACTAATTCTTTCTAACAATTGTATACTTAATACAGAAATTAATAATTATTAAGCTAAATAAATATAGACATTGAAAATTATACTAATTTAATATTGAGTTGTTTTTCTTCCAAGGTCATTTACAAGGTTACATGTGTTTCTTTTCACATTTAATGACAAAGGTCACATGTGGACTGAAATCTATACTAATATTATAAAGAGGAAAGATTTTTATTAAAATATGTATTGAAATAACTCAAAAACTTATGGGCCAATTTCAAAAATGACACAATTAAAAAGCTACGTTATCAGTGCGTAACATACGCTGTTTTTTTTTTAATTTTAATTGCTCGCGACCAGTTAGTTCGAAATATCTATTTTATCTATGTCTTTCAAAACTGAAGACTAAATGAATTCTTCATCATATTTTTTTAATGAATAAAATAAAACCACCAAATAAAATAAAATAAAATAGGATATTTATTTTGGAAAATATTAATTCGCAATAAATAAACAATTTTAGTCGTATACAAAGCTTTCTTTGTTAAATAGAACAAAAGAAATCATTTGTAATAAAGCCAATTAACGAAACTATCGTTTTAGTGTTGCCATGTAAAAATATCCAGTTTCCACATTATCTGAATCTAACGAGGATTGTATCGCCATTTTTTATTGAATAATAAGCGAGATCTTTCATAACATTATCCAGAGTTATTTCAGCGCCTTTCATTTGATCGTCGACGAGATTTAACGTCGGCGTTCCAGTGTTGCCATGCTTCGAGAACAGTCTTTGTGTGAGTGTTACCAGTTTCTGTACAGCCATAGTTGATGGGAATTTCTTTTTTAATGTTTTTCCATTTTCATCGCGTAGTACAATTTCTAATAATTGTGATGTTAGAGTTGTATTCTTCTGTTGTTTTACTAACAAACTATCATCCGGTATACCGTATTCTGGAAAGAAATAAACCAAAAATCATACTTCTATATTTTTTACTAATATTATAAATGCAAAAGTTAAGATGTTTGTTACTTTGTAGCCTAAACGGCTGAACGGATCTCAATGAAATTTGGCATAGATGTAGAACATAGACTGGAACACATAGGCTACTTAAGTTTCTTCTTTTTAATTGTTTTTTTTTTTATAACATAAGGTGGCAAACGAGCAAGCGGCCACCTGAATCCGCCAAAATGTCGAAGTGACCGCTGCCCATAGACATCCGCAATTGCAGATGCGCTGCCTATCCTTATACAACGGAGGAGGAGACGCATATAAAGAGGATATTTCCCCTTCCTATGCATCTGCTCCACCGTCAAATCCACTTCCTCTTCCCATCCTCTCCTTATAAGAAAAGGGTGGTAAAGAGAAAGGGACTTAAATTAGGCCTCCGGCACCACACTCATCAGACTGTACACGGAATTACTTCCATTTGAAGCCTGTCTTCTGTGTGGTCGTGGTATTACTGGAGGCTTGCCGGCGCTGCAGTGCCAACATGTTAAAGCGGGCACTACCAGTGTTGTAATCAGGTAATTCTAATCAAGCGTAGTCGCGGGACAAAGCCAGTCTATATTAATATAATAAACAGCGATCACAGTTCATTTTTTAATGACTATTTTTAATTAAAACCCCTACATTCACGACACGCTATAACCTATATATTTTCAAACTATTGAACTTAGGAAGTAAATAATTTAGACAAAATAGTTATGCGAGAAAGGGACAAAAATAAGCCAATAGTAACGGTAATTGTTAACCAAAATTTTGACATCTTACTAATATTATAAATGCGAAAGTTTCGATGGATGGATGTATGGATGGTTTGGAGTTTGTAGACTTAACTGCTGAACGGATCTCGATGTCTTTTGGCATAAATGTAGTCTAGAACATGGCTACTTACTTTTATTTTTAAATTCCACTTGGACAGAGTCGCAGGCGGAAGCTAGTTATACATTAACATAGTTTTTATATTATGCGGATGAAGCCACACAGGAAGCAATAGTTTTAGGAATAGGAATTATAGGAACAAGGATAATTTGAAGTTAATTAATTATTCCTAACTTAGGGACACTCCGAACTTTGTGAGTGGGAATGATCTGATGATGATGATGGTGATGGTGTTAGTGGTGATGGTGATACTTACTATCAAGAAGTTCCTGGAATCGACAATGTTCTGTATCAAACGCTTTTTTATGTGCATCTTGTTCTTGAGCTAGTTTCCACTCCGCACCATATCTCTTGAGATAATCATATTCCGCACCTCTACGGAGTTCACGGGTTATTATTGAACCATTTAGTTCCTGAAATATTAAAACTAGATACTTTATAACATTTTCCCATAGAGAGTCAATAAACTGTGCAAAAAAGAGTACGGACCAAGAGTCTGTAGAAGTTGATAAATAAAAAAAAAAGCACTTTACTTGTAATATACAGGTCTTGGGTTCGAATCCTGTACCAATGTGATTTTCGAATTACATCTATACTATCTATACTTCTATACTATTATAATAAAGCGTAAACACACACTTCTTTGTTGCCTAAGATGTCAGCAATTACAGCATATTTTTTAAATAATTCTTTTTTTAATAAAAAGCCCTACACTGACGTCACGCTTTAGGCTATATATTTTCACGCCATTAAGCTTAGGGGGTAAATATTTTGGATAAAAACCCTAATGTGGGAAAGAGACCATGTTGACATTTGCAATTCATAATTTGACGCATGTAAGCAATAACAAAGTTTTCATAATAAAAGCATAAAAATGCGGATGAAGTCGCACGGGAACAGCTAGTAGTAGCTATTTACTTAGCGTTCTTATGGTAAAGGAATATTGATTCACATATTGGTGAAGAAATTCAGAGAAAATTAATTCAACCCGCATATCCTAGAGACCCGGAGGAGTGTAAAACTGGGCCAATTTTAAAAAAATCTTTCATCATTTTAAAGGTTATCTGTGAGTAACATAGGTTGTGTTGTGTTTTACTATTTTTTAATTTTAAGCGGACGAAGTCGCGAGCAACAGCTATTTGTAAAAGAAAAGTAAAAGTATTGTATTTAAATCCCATTCGAGCTATTTTTAATCAGTTTTTTGTCACTGTTCGTATATATTCTTTTAGAAGAATTATTCAGTGGTTATTTCTGGTTTTTTTTTAAATGTTAATTAAATATAATAATTTTACCTGTAAAGTGCCTATTTTAGCGATAACAAGCTGTGAAGTAGTATCGTAATCTTCACTATTCTGTATTGGATTCTTCAAGAAATATAACTTTTTTAAATTCCTCAATTTATCCAACTCGCTTATTGATCTCCACTGAAATTAATAAAAAGTCATTAAGGGCCTGTCCCACTAAATTGTAAATTGCCTGATAACAATCCAACTTCTAAAATATTTGGTGGAAATATCGGATTTTGTTCCATTATCTGTCAGTCTTTAAGCTATTTGAGCCTCTATCAGACAGTGGAGGGACATGCACAACCATATTAATATAAACGTGAAAGTTTAGATAGAAGTTTGTTAGAATTTGTAGCCTAAACAGCTGAACGGATTTCAATGAAATTTGGTATAGATGTCTGATAATCTGGAACATAGAGGCTACACACTTTTATTTAATTCCACAGACGTTGTCGGGGGGAAAGCTAGTAAAATATAGATTAGTTAACAGCAAGACATTTAAACTACCAAAATTAATTTAAACAAGTGCTAATTTTCATTAGCATTTAGTAAAATACTAGCTTTTGCTCTCAACTTCATTTACACGGAATAAAAAAAATAATTCTAGTAAATAAAATATTCTGAATCACTAAGTAATAATGTAGCTCTCTAATGGTGAAAGAATTTTTCATATTAGTTCAGTAGTTTTTGAATTTATTTGTTACATACAAAAGTAAAAATCTTTCTTTACATTTAGAAAGAAAATTAAACATTGGACTATTAATGTAAGATATACTTTATTGTTAATCTATACTATTATAAAAAAGAAAAAAATTGAATTATTGGATGTTTTAAAATAACTCAGAAACTACTGGGCCGATTTTTAAAATTCTTTCATCGTTAGAAAGGTAATTTATCTGCGAGTAACATAGACTACATATTATTTTTTTTTTTTAATTTTCGCTACACTAAATCGCAAGCGAGTTTCTAAATACACATTTTAGTTAAATTCAATACTTAAAATTAAAAAAATAAAATAAAAAAACTTACATCATTAATTTGATTCCTGTTCAAAAATAAAACTTCCAAATTATCAAAAATATCAACTTTCCCATTCCCTGGATCATTATTAAATCTTATTTCAGAAATTTTACAATCATTCAAACTTAACACTTTTAGATTTTTCAGTCTTCCGAGATTGTTCACTTCATTCCATGAATCAATTGGGTTACCATCCAAACGTAATATCGTTAAAGTACGTAGAGTGATATCGGGTGATGTTATTTTTTTAATTCTGTTATACGCTGCTATTATTTCATTTACTTTCGGCCAGAGATGTGACAATACTAGAATATCGGACCACTCATAATCACATACTGATAAATTAAGTTTCTCAAGGTTGGCAAAGTTTATAGACAACTGGGATAATGTTTCCACCGGCATGTCTATTGCCATACGGTTTTTGCTGAAAAAAAACATAGAAACTATAAAATATAATGGAATTATTTTTTTTAACTATTAGGTTGTACAATCAGGTTACATATTTTGTATATAACATTTTACTATTATAAATGCGAAAGTTTAGATGGATGTTTGTTAGTTTGTAGCCTAAATGGCTGAACAGATAACGGTGAAATTTGACATAGATGTAGGGCATAGTCTGGAAGAATACATAGGCTGATTTTTTTTATTTCACAAACACTTATCTGCGGGCGATAGCCAATCATACTTCAAACTATAGTTTAATCTTACTAATATTATAAATGTGAAAGTTTAGATGGATGGATGGATAGATGGATGATTGTTAGAGTTTGTAGCATAAACGGCTGATCAGATTTCGATGAAATTTGTTTTAGATGTAGAAGATAGTCTGGTCTAGACACATAAAATTTGTATAAAAACTTTTTTAATTATTTTTCTATATTAGTATAGAAGTATAGAAGTATAGATATTACATACCTAACATCCAGTTCTTTCAAATCAGGCAACTGAGCGGAGAGTTGAATCACTTCACGCCAATTGGAAAATAAATTCCTAGAGACATCTAAACTGCGGACATTCGGACAAAGGGAAGCAACATCACCAGCGGTAGACACATTCTGGTCATGAACACACACCTCTTGGAGACGGTCAAACTTTCTGGAAATTTGAAAGAAATTAAAAATCATAGCTTTTGATGTACTTTGAACTGTGTTCCACTTTAAAAGCTACAATAGTTTGAATGAGATGTGGAATACAATGCAGCTTATAAATCATACTAATATCATAAATGCGAAAGTTTAGATGGATGTTGGTTTGTTTGTAGCTTAAACTGCTGAATGCATTTCGATGAAACTTGATACAGATGTAGATGATAGTCTGGAAGAACCCACTTTTGTTTTTCTTTAATTCCTCGCGGACGGAGTCGCGGGCGAAAGCTAGTTCATAATATTTAATATGTATTATAACGGTAATTTATTGAGTAATGTTTATTAAACTTTGCTTTTTAAGTATAAGTATTGGTCAATTATTAGTTTAATTATGATGGTAATGAAGTAATGAGGAAGAGATTGTCTCCGGTGACATAGAGCAATCTACTAAGAAGCCAGGGCTTTAAGGAAATATACAAAAGAGAAAATAAAGCATTTAATTACATATAAAAGTAAGAAACTCACTGTTTCTGATGTATCTTCTCAAATCCGACCATTTCAATAAATGGAGCACCCATTTCTCTCTTCCACTCATTGATAACAGTTCTACGATGAGCAGCTACGGTTTCATCCTGAAAAAATGCAGATTATGAAAATATTATGGTATCCAGCACTTTGGGACAAAGACTAAATCATGGCAAAGAATAGTTAATGCCAGTTTTGAAGAGCACATAGGTTTATAGCTCAACCAGGAATATAAAATCCCTTGCCTCTTTACATCCTTCCGTCATCTCAGTCATCCCTTCTTGATTATCTTTTACACAATCCATCTATATCTTTTTTAGGCCTATCTCTATCAGTGTTCGTCCAAATAACTAATGCTCCAATATTCTAAAAAAGGAAACTAAATTCTTTGGATATGTAAGAAAACTATGTAATAAAGTTGATTGGAACATCTGTAGGGTAGGTATTTTTTAATTTTGGTTAGGCTATATTAGTTAACGCTAGTTTATAGTTAAATTTGTATCTATACTCTTATAATAAAGCGTAAACACACACTTCTTTGTTGCCTAAAATATAAGCAATTTTAGCATATTTTTGAATAGTTCCTTATTTAATAAAAAGCCCTACACTTGTATCACACTTGAGACTATATATTTTCACACAATTAAACTTAGGAAGCAAATATTTTGGATAAAAACCCTAATGTGGGAAAAAGACTATAAGTTGCTGCTAACATCAAGGAAGAAACATTGCCAAGGTTTGTAATGTTATGTCATTTTGACATTTGCCATTGATAATTTGACAAATGTAAACAATAAAATAAAATTTTCATGTGGATGAAGCCGCACGGGAACAGCTAGTTGTTGATAAACAAACTACATGTTCTTTTTCAGAATAGACAAAATTTGAATTGAATAAGTAGTGTATATTCCAGTACTTTTTATTGTAGTATTAAATCTTTTGAACATCTAAACTACATAGGATATCAAAATAGTAAAAATGTGCAAACATTGTTTACTGTATAACAATGTGATATAAACAAAATAAAAGGTAATTAATTGATCAGAAACAGATTAATATGTAAAATTGTAAACATATGTCTATTATTGCATTTGATATTGTGTGGGTGTAAGACCTTGTATGGACTAATATGGAGTAATGAAAGTATATAATAAAGAAAACATACCTCGCGATCACCGTAGTACTTCCGAATGGCATCAGCGCAAGTCCTCAAAGGTGATATCTTGTTCGGACGAACAAAAGAACCAGCATTTGGTTTCGTGGTTTTAAAATACTGGATGTTGTCAACAAAACCGTCATGCTTCCCTCTAGCAACATCATCCCATTCTACTCCGTACCATATCCCGTTGTAACCCTGCACTTCACCGATATATTTTACAATGCCAATATCATCACCACTCTTCACTCTACTACCGATAGATACTTGTATTTCATCTTCCATACCGTTACAACCACCGATCGTGCTGTTGTAAAATTTTGGTATTATATTAACAGGCATCGCGCCCACCATCCTTTTTGTGTTTTCGAAAATGGAACTGTTTATCAAATCGAAAACAGGACAAACTCTTCGGAAAACTTCGAGATTGTCAGATTGAGTGACGCATTGTCAAAAATCGTTGCTGTGTTACCAAATAAAATGAAAGTGAATTCTGATTGTTTATTATTTAATTATTTTCGGATTTTACACTTAAAAATACAATTTCTATTAAACAGCACATTTTTTAAATAAAGAAAAATTCTTACAAAACATTTTCTTAAACCTAGTGTTGCTAGAAATTACGTTGAAATTAACCAATGAACCATCTTTAGTTTAGGAATGGAACACTAGATGGCAATGCCAGTCAAAATCCAGAGAAAAGACTGAAGAAACTCTACAACCACGAACAATGATTGGTCCCCGGCGAGCGAAGTTATTATACGACTAAATTTGGAAGTACAGTCAAATAGTTCCAAATAGGGACGAAAATGTAAATTTAATTTCCGGACTCACGCCGAACAGCACACGTTGTACCGTAATTTAAGCTTGGTTAGTGGGGGGATGCATTCGATCGTATCACCGTACACAATAGAACTTTAGCCTTCAGCTGTAGTAATAAGCTCGTGACTATTGTTTGATTACACATGTATGTACATTGTAGCCTAGTATGACTGTACTGTGTGTGAGCTAATTTTTTTTTAATTCGCTCTCAGCCCCGGCGCAGAACTAGCGTTCTCTCGCTCGTCGCTTTTCGTAATCGGGGTAAAAACGGGACGTGAATCCAAAAGTGCTTTTTGACACGAAAATGGCCACCCCGAAGCCAGACGTATCCACGAGTCGATAATAAGTGCGAAGTACGTCGGTCTGTGAAAAATATGCAGTTTATAAGTGAACAATTGTTGCGTGCCGTGCAATAGTGCATAAGGATTGATCTCGACAAAGGATACGAGCATCAAAATGAGGTAAGTGTTCAGAGTTCATCAAACTGACCGGAGCTTTCGTGTACATAACAAATAAATAAATCTTAATTTATAAGCGTCGTTTTAATTAGAAGGAGGATTTAGGATTTTGCTATGGTTTTGTTCTGTTTGCGAGCAATGTGGGAAGTAAACACGAGTTAATGTCGCGGGTCATCGATTTGTTAATATCCTTCGTAACAACATTTTTATCAATGAACTTACCCTTGAAGCGTATTAATAAGCGTAATTATATTTCAAGTTGAGATGTTGGAGACTTCGTAACTACGATATTGATTTTCTGCGCACCGTGTGGGACCCCACACGTCGTTATAATTTCTATCTTTTTCGAAAGCGATTCCAAATTTGAATTTTGGCCTTGACTTTGAACTTCCATTTTTAAAATTGATCTTGAAACGCTTTTTGTACGAAATGGGGTGGATGGACCCCTTTTTGATGGTACAAATAACACCCACATGACTAATACCACCCCACCTATTCTAATTTTAATATTGCGAATTTGTTTATTTCATTACTCATCCATTCGCAATTCACTTATCTATGCCCGTCATTGATAAGCGTTTTTTTTTTAAATAAAAGATTTGTTTTCGCTTAAAAGACCCATTTAATGCCATAAGAGGAAAAAACTCTTAATAATTCTACTCTTTTTGACTAATTTAATAATATAATTATTTGTTTTTGGTGTTAAAACAATAAATTATCTCACTTGAAATTTATTGGCAAATAACAACTAAATTTGTAGAATTTGTTCAATAATACCGAATTTACAGCATATTTTGATGAATACTTGAAGTATTTACTAATAATAGTTTAGTTGTTATTTCTATTTTCCTTGTTTAAAATTCATAACATAAACATGACCTCATACACTTGGAAAACCTCTTATAGGTTGACTCAGTCAAGAAATTATTATGGGAGTTATTTATTTCCTTTTATATCCCATATTTCTATGCTAAAGTTGAATTATTGCCGAACAGATCTGTTTAATAGTTAGATTCCTTAAGTCTAGACTAGATTTTTATACTAATTCTACACTTATGATTTCCCTTAGTGACAAAATAGGGACTTGAGTGACAGTTAAACTACTGCATAAATGTTTCTGAGTGTGTGAGTCATCATACTTCCTTTTTATATAGAGAGTTATTTTATTTTATACACTAATAGTGTACTAAAGAATAAAATATTTCTAAAAATAAAAGGAACTAGCAATCCATTCCAGCTTTTCTTGGGTGGCAAAGAATATATCTCATGTTAGTGATTGTTACTTGTAATTGCAAAAAAAAATTTTAATCTGTTTTTCTATATATCAAAGTTTTCCTCTGTAATATTAGTTAATGAAATTAATAAAACAATAAATTGATCTGTTTTTTTTTACTATGTTCCCTAAATATATAAAACAACTGCCAGCTACATTTCGAGTAATTTAAAAAGAAAAAAATTAGCTCATGTAGCCTGTGTTCTTCCAGACTGTTTTGTTTTGGAGATAATGGTAACAAACATCCATTGCTCGAAATATCCATATCTATATTAATACTATAAATAGGAAAGATTTGTATTTTTGTATGTATTGAAAAACTCAAAATGTACTAGGCCGATTTTAAAAAATTCTTTTATATTAGAAAGGCAATTTATCTGTGAGTAACATGGACTATGTCTTTTATTATTTTTTTTAATTTCGCAAGTTACAGCTATTTTATAAAACAGTAGAACCTCAATGAGTTAAAAGTCCAAGGGAAACACAAAATGTTTAGTTATAGAGGTTTTAAGTTATCAAAGGTCTATAATGTAGTGGTTTTGGGCTCTGATGGGAAGGGAACATATTATTTTTTGAAGTTATAGAGGTTTTTAAGTTACTCAAGGTTTAAGTTATCGAGGTTCTACTGTTTTTGTATGGTCAACAATAACTGCTATGGATCGCTAAGGTAGAGTTGCCGTTGCCTTACGCAGTTATGGTGTGAATAAAATTCAATGATAATCAAAATGAATACAAATGATTATTGAATAATTTTACAGCATTGGATGCCATATATAGTCTAACTATTAGCATGTACATCTATGACCAAACTATCGCACAACTATTTAGTCACCCTTTGATTCTAATGATCTTATATGTAGGTGCATACTACTCGATTAGTTGTGTAACTAAACAGTTGAATTGGCTGAGAATTAATCGATTTTTTTTTTATAATATAAGGCAGCGAACAAGCAAGCGGCCACCTGAATCCACCAAAATGGAAAGTGAATGCTGCCCATAAATATCTGCAATTGCAGATGCGTTGCTTACCCTTAATTGATGGAGGAGACGCACATAAAGAAGACATTTCCCCTTCCTATGCATCTCCACTGTCAAATTTATTTTTCCTTCCCATTTTAAGAAAAGGGCAGAAAGGGCCAATTTGGGCAAATTAGGCCACACAACAGTTGTGCGATAGATTAGTCTAAAGGTGTCCACTGACTCCTAGACTAATAGATACTGCCCACTTGCTTGGACACAGTACAAAAAAACAAATGGCCATGAATGACAATAGTACTAAAGAAATAGATTATAAATTAAATTGCCTCAATTAAATTACAAGTTTTTTATTTGGATGGCCTTTAAATTTACAACTCAATTATTTATAGTAACTAGACTCCTTTCACTTTTAGATGGTTGGATGTTTGTTAGAGTTTGTAGCCTAAACAGCTAAACAGATCTTTATGGAATTTAGCATACATGTAGATGATAGTCTGGAAGAACACATAGGCTACTTACTTTTGTTTTTATTTTAATTCCACGCGGACGGTGTCGCGGGCGAAAGGTAGTAATATAATAAATGTGAAAGTTTAGATGGATGGATGGATATTAGAGTTTGTAGCCTAAATAGTTGAATGGATCTTGTTGGAATTGGGCATAGATGTAAGGCATAGTCTGGAAAAACACATAGGCTACTTACATTTGTTTTTTTTTAATTCCACACGGACGAAGTCACGAGCAAAAGCTAGTAATACTATAATATAGTATGTAACCTGGAGAAATGTTACGAAACCAATTAGAAGACAATCCTTGTATCTTCCTAATATTATAAATGTGAAAGTTTGGATGGATGTTTGTTAAAATATCTCTAGAATACTTCAACGGATCTTGGTGGAAAGGCACAGATGTAGAACATGGAAGCAAAGGCTACTAATTCATTTTTAATGACCCGCGGATGGAGTCGCGTGCGACAGCTAGTTCATTAAAACAATTTAAGCACAGCCCAAACTACAGGACCTAAAATTTTCTGTTGAGATTTCTACTTTATTGTAAAGAATTAAGATTGGATTTTAAGAAATTGCGTAATGAACTAAAGGTTGGTAGTTTGTAGAAATCATTCCTTTGGCAATATTGAAAAATTGTATTCTTTTCAGTACAAATTTACATATTTCAGCTTGTTTATTCAAATCCTGCAGATGTACAAAATAAGGGTCGATAGTTTTATACTTTTTAACTCCATTGACAGAGTTACAAGAAAAAGCTTGTAATATACATAGCTAAACTATGATCTTTTTTTTATTTATATATTCGTCGTTCTTACATATGAATGAAGACGAAATAAAATTCGGTTACAAAATTTGAAAACCTTTGAGTGATATTTACGTAATAAAATTAATATTCGATAACCTTGAATCTGTTACCGATGTGTAGATTTCGAGATTGTAATATACATAAATAATGGATTATGGAATGTGATTTGACTTTATTGACAGCGACATCTAGTGTTAAATGTTTTTACAAGAGAGGAATGAAACCATTATGTCGTTATCTATACTACTCGTAATATAATAAAGCGTAAATACACACTTCTTTGTTGCCTAAGATGTCAGCAATCAGCATATTTTTGAATAACTCGTTTTTTTAAAAGGTCCTACACTTACGTCTCGCTTTAGGCTATAAATTTTCACGCCGTTAAACTTAGGGGTAAATATTTTGGATAAAAACCCTAATGTGGGAAAGAGACCATAAATTGTTTCCAACATCAAGGAAGCAAATTTGCCATGGTTTGACATCATGTCATGTCATTTTGACATTTGCAATTGATAATTTGACAAATGAAAACAATTAAATGAAATGATATATTTATAATTCTATGCGGATGAAGCCGCATGGGAACAGCTAGTTTATTCTAATTCGA